AGAGAGATGTATGTATGTATATATAGCTAGAGAGAGAGAGAGAGAGAGAGAGATAGGGACAAATTAGTGTGTTGTGTGGTGGTGGATTGGTGGAGTGGGTGTGGGGTTGCGCTGCCCACCTGCTCCTCCCGCCACCATTAGTCACCATCCACCCACCACCCAACTAATTAATCACCTCCTAGCAACTGCAAAACATTATATATATATATATATATATATATATATATATAGAGTACACATAATTCATTCTTTATAATGTGATCAATCAAATCTAACGTGACTGGTCACTGGTCAGTAACTTGACCCTATATATATTAAAAAGAGTAAATACCTAAATAATCCATCGACTATAGCTAAATTTAAAAATTGGTTCTCGATTTTTAATTTCAACCAATTAAGTCCTTAACTTTGCAATTTTAACACAATTTAGTCCTCCGTCTATTTAACCGTTTGTTGATCGTGATCTTTGAGGATATATATGTAATTTTATGGTCTATCGTCGGCCGGAAAATCTTCAATCCCAAATGGAAACCCTACATTCCAGACTTCAAACAAGCCTTCGAACACTTCTGCATCAACGCCGATGGCTGCGTCGTCATCGACAATCTCCAGAAGAACCTGCAACTCTCTTCGGAGCACGTGGACTTGGCAGATTGTGGTTCGAAAACACGTCGTCTTCTTCGGTCTGGTATGAACTCAACTACATTGAATCCAAAGGGAGGATGAAGAAAGGCGATAGGATTTGGCATATTGCTTTCGACAGTGGATTCAAATGTAACAGTGCGGTCTGAAAATGTAACTGGAACCTCAAAAAAACGGACGATGGACCATGAAATTACATATATATCCTCAGAGTTCACGGTCAACAAACGGTTAAATAGACGGAGGATCAAATCGTGTTAAAATTACAAAGTTAAGGACTTAATTGGTTGAAATTGAAAGTCAATGACCAATTTATTAATTTAGCTATAGTCGAGGGACCATTTTGAGTATTTACTCTATTAAAAATGTTTGATCAACTTTAGAATTATTGTTTATTATTTTATAATTTTAAACTATGAACTTTAGATTTACGAGTATTGTTTAACATTTTAAATTTTAAATTAGTAGTTATGTAACAAGTTATATATTTTAATTATTTTTATGATATATAAATGGTAAAAATTAACAAAGCAACAAATTAACAACTTAAGAACAAAACAAAAAAAAAAAAAACAAAAAAAAAAACAAAAAATAAAACAAAAAACAAAAAAAGGTGGCAAGGGCCTGCTTAGCCCGCGGGCAAGAAAAACCTAGGCCCATCAAAGAACAGGCTTTTTTGGCCCACTACGTCAGAGCGACAACTTTGGGTGTGCACTTCATCAATATATATTATATATCAGAGTATATATCTAGGGTGTGCACTTCATCAGCTCAGTCGTCGCCGATCGCCGTCTACCAGAGAATGCGATTAGTTGGTCGCTTTCTCCGGCGAAAGGCGACCAATTGGTCGCCTTCTCCAGAAAAGGCGACCTTTCTTGTTGCCTTCTCCTGGAGAAAGCGACTTTTTCAGGTCGCCTTCTTCGCGCAAAGACGACCTTTACTGGTCACCTTTGCCGGAGAAGGCGATCATTTGATCGATGGTGATGTTTTCTGGTAAGATTTCTCCAGTTAATGGCAAAATATATAGTCAACAGTATAATTATCGATAAATTTGACTTAATTAATTAAAAATAACATGTTTGAGAGTTTAACTAAACTTTTTTAAAATTTAGATATCTAATTGACTTTTGGTGTAAAATTTAGGAGCCTATTTGATCATTTTCTTTATAATAAAGTAAAATAAATACTATAAAATAGGTAACACTATAACAATAACATTTATTTATTTCGAGTACGCTCTAACCTATGTATAGTATTTGTAACAATAACATTTATAAAAGTCCATATTGTGTATGGGGTATTACTCAACCACTCCCCATCTCATCTACACCAACAGTGCTTGCATCCACTTTACTAGCGTGTGTTTCAACGGCCCACCACCACCACCCTCCACCCACCCAAAACCTTCTTTTGTGGCTGCTCCTCCCTCCTTGCCCATCAATATAACAAACCACTCTCTCTTTCTCCCCTTTCCCAAGATCCATTTCCACCAATTATCCCTATCCTACGCCCCACTCGCCTAACGTGCGCGCAACTCAGGCGAGGATTGGATTGGCCGCTATGTCAGTTGCCCGTGATTCATTAACGCCGCCGCTGTCGGAGTTAGGGCCACCGCAGGGACACTTATTTTAAACAGAAGGCAGTCACGCCGAAGCCGAGGTTGCTAACGTGCGCCGCTCGCGTAATCACTTGATTTTTTTACAGACAGAGAGAGAGAGAGAGATGTCGGAGACGACTGACGCCGTGCCGGAAGCCGGCGTGGATGACTTGGCTGCGGTGGTGGTGGAGGAGAAGCCAGGGAGGAAATTTCCGGCGCCGTGTTGGACGCAAGAGGAGACTTTGGCCCTGATCGAGGCCTACCGCGAGAGGTGGTACGCGCTCCGCCGCGGGTACCTCCGCACGGCGGACTGGGATTCGGTGGCGGAGACGGTGGTGAGCCGCTGCCCCGACGCGTCGCCGGCCAAGACCTCCGCGCAGTGCCGGCACAAGATGGAGAAGCTCCGGCAGCGTTACCGCGCCGAGAAACAGCGATCGATGTCCTATCCCGCCGGCCGCTTCTTCTCCAATTGGTTCTTCTTCGAGAACATGGACGCCATGGAGAACGGCACCGTGGTTTCCGCCGCTAGATCCAATCAAGAGCCCGATAAACAAACAATTTCCGGTAATGCCTTTGGTTTAAAAACCTTGATTGATCAGAACATTCTGAAATTAAAGCTCAATCCCTCAAAACTCACAAAATCCATTGAAGATTCGAACCCTAATTTTGGCTTTGATCAAGAGATCACACCAAAGAATTTTGGGGCTCGAGTTCCAAATGGCTACCTCTCGTATTTGGATGTTGCAGCCAGCAAGAAAGAGCAAGTTGATGTTCTGCATTTGGAAAATCCTTTTGGAATGAAAACCAGAATTGATGGAATTCCAATCCCTATTGGATTCAAACCAAAGAGAAGCAGTTTCAATGGTGAGCTAAAGAATGGCTTTGATGTTGTGAACAAGGAAATGGGGAAGCATGACAGGGGGATGAACTCGAATCTCAGCGAGTACAATGGAATCAACCCGAGCGAAGAGTATATAATGAGGGTGTTTGCTGATAGAAACTCATCAGTTCATGTCAGGGGAAACAATGGTGGAGGAGCTATGGAGGATTCCAATCACGACATGGGCGTCTCTTCGAATAGGTTTCTGTCGTCTAGTTTGCCTAGAGTAGGGAAGAGGATCAGCGATGGCAGCAGCGGTGTAGGGTGTAAACGGGAGAGGAATTCAGTCGATAGCGTCGACCAAATCGCTGCCTCGATCAGGTTCTTGGGAGAAGGGTTCATGAAGATCGAGAAGATGAAAATGGAGATGGCGAAGGAGATGGAGCAAATGAGGATGGAGCGGGAAATGAAGCAGAGCCAGATGATACTCGAATCCCAGAAGCAGATGGTGGATTGTTTCATGACGGTGTTGAGTGAGCTCAAGAACAGCAAAAAGGCGAAGAAGACAGGAGGCGAGCACGGGCAGGAATCATAGTCCAGGATTTCTCCATTGATATGAGTTTGGATTTGATGTTTATGATGCTATATATGAATCAGGTTAGTGCAAAATGCTGAATCTGCTACTAGTTTTAGTAACTTATATTATCATCATTGAGAGGTATATGTAGCTTCTGTAGCCATGACAGTTATATGTAACATAGCATAAGGTTTGCCTTGAAGGAAGCTCACTGTGTACAGCTTCTGAGCATAATAATATTGAGTTCACCAACATTTTCTGAGATCTCATTGAATTTGATCGCGCAAAATGCATTGGGTTTTTGAATCAGATCATGAGACTTGATGGTTCTTGATATTAACTTGTAAGAGAAATAATGTTCTTGTAAGAAATTTTGTTATAACAGAGTTACAATTACCAGGTGGAAGATCCATTTTCTAATGCTACTATCTACTTATAGTTTGTAACAGCTCTAATGCTACGATTGGACTGCCATTGATAGGTATCTGGTTGAGGAGGTGCAGACCTCACTCCCCCGCACCCTCAACCCCACTATCTAGATATGATTGGTAGGTATTCGGTTCACAAAGTGCGACCCCCTCCCCCACCCCCCAACTCCATTATCTAGATACGATTGGTAGGTATTCGGTTCACAAGGTGCGACTTCCCTCCCCCACACCCCCCAAACTCCACTATCCGGTTCACAAGGTGCGACTTCCCTCCCCCACACCCCCCAAACTCCACTATCTAAATACGATTGGATTGTCATTGGTAGGTATCTGGTTCACAAGGTGCGACCTCCCTCCCCCATACCCCCAAACTCCATTGTCTAGATACGATTGGACTACCATTGGTAGGTTTCTGGTTCACAAGGTGTGACCCCCTCCACCACACCTCCCTTCCCCAACTCCACTATCTAGATACGATTGGTAGGTATCCGGTTCACAAGGTGCGGCTCCCCTTCCCCACACCACCCAAACTCCACTATATAAATACGATTAGATTGTCATTGGTAGGTATCTGGTTCACAAGGTGCCTCCACTATCTAGATACGATTGGACTACCATTGGTAGGTATTCCATTCACAAGGTGCAACCCCGCTCCCTCACACCTCCCAAAGTCATCTAGACACGATTAGACTGCCATTGGTAGGTATCCGGTTCACAAGGTGCAAACCCCGGTTCCCCACACCCCCCAACCCCACTATCTAGATATAGATTGGATGATCATGTCCGAGACTAAATTGTGATACCTTTGGACCAGATTAAAGCGATATCTAGGTTAGTCGGGATCCATTATCTCATCGATTCTTGAATTGCTTTAAACTTGTATGAGTTATATAGCTAATGCTAAGTAAGATAGAGCCATTCCCAAAAACTCAAACATCCAAATGAACAAAAAAGGATTGTATTTGCTCAATAATGTCATCATGAAAAATAGGATTGAAAAACTACAGGTTGCTGAGTTTCAGTATCCCACAGATAAATACTCTTGAAATCATATGGAAATAGAGAGTGGCATATCTCACTCATTGTTTCTAAAGAATCGGATTCCTATTTACGTCTTTATACAGCAAGTAGCGAGTGCGAGGTTTACCCAGAGCAGCATACCTGAAAACCGAGCAAGCAAGTCACACTTCATACAAAACTTTTGCAGACTCGGGATATCTATAATGTCCTATATATGTACCGCAACTTACCATTGGGGCACGAACGGTGCCATCCAAATAGCATCGCCAGCCTCAACAGGATACCTGTCAGCCAAGTACAATGACTAATATCACGACAAGATTTCACAACTTTACGGGTCTAAAAGTATGAAAAGTAATAGAAAGCGCTGACAGGCATTGAATAAAAGATTGAAACGCTGCTTTAAAGCGTATCTCATCAACTACAGAATCAAGATATCTGTGTGCTTACCAGCTATCACCTAATCGATATATACCCTGCCCCTCCAAAAGCAACAAACCGTGCTGGTTGTAATGGACCTCCTGCCAACCAGCCAAAAGCGTGAGAAATGTTATAATAAATTAGAAATTTGAGGCTGAGGCGGTAAACGCTTGTATAGTATACAGAAAATCTAAAAAACGAAAAAGAAAAAAGAAAAAAGCCGTATTAACATAATGGTCAACAGCTTCAACACCACAAGAAAAGATTACCTTTACATTCAGGAATTCTCCCGGTTGAAAATCCATGATCTTGCAGCAAAAGAATGGAAGGAAAAGTGATTAAAGGATCGGAAATTAATAAACGATAAACAAGGCCTTCCCCGCTCCACCCCTTTGGGGGAGAACTCGCTACTTTTTGGATAACCTGAATGATTCCGGAAATTTATTTGATACTCACATGAATATTGAAATCATAATCTAAAGATGTCGGAAGAAGCTTCCTCAGTTCAAAGACCTGAAAAAGATTGAAAAAACGATGAATAATTGCTCTGATAAAAACAAAACTTAACTCGATGACTAGAATCATTTCTTTCAATCAGTTTTCAAAACCAAAAAAAAAAAAAAAAAAAAAAAAAGCAGAAGATAGATATTTACCTCGCCCGGGGTTTCAAGGAGGGGTTGCCTGTCTGTCGAACCAACAATCTGGTGGCTTGCGTAATTTTCGATTTTGGAATATCTAAACGAAAAAACAAGATTCGAGTCCTTATGCAGTAAAACGGGCCACCAGTACATTTTATACAATTGAACTAAAGGTTTATAGTGCTTGAAGTGGAAAGAAATGGTAGAGATACTCAACGAGCATTCTAAAATGCTCGGTAAAAATAAAAACATACCTTCTCTCGAATACAACGAGGGTTGCAGATGCATCAGCTTTCACAGCGTGTTCCAGATTCGGAGGTAAATAGGCATAAGAGTCCACCTGCATAAAACGGATAAAAGACATTAAAAGCTCCAAAGATACCCATTGACAGAAATAAGAGAATGAGAGGGACCTAGGCCAAAAAGGTTCGACTTTTTGTTCAAATACTAAAAAATATATATTTTCCAATGAGAGAATATAAAGCATTGTTATTAAGAATGTTTTATAGAAACCCGATAACTGCTTTAACTGTATATATAAAGCTCAGAAAAGTAATGGCTCGGTGTCTGAAAAATAGTTACCTTCAGTTTGTGGCTATTCCCAGACACATTAGTCATAACTACCTCGCCCTCAACCACAAATATGAACCTGACAAGCAAGGTAAAATAAATTAATTATTCATAACTTCTCAACAGTAATTGGAAATAGAATTTTTACTGAGACGGAAGTTGTAAAATTGAGTATAATAACAGCCTTTGCACCTTTCGACACCGCTTGGAGGAAGCCCTGATATTGAATTTTCTGGAAACGGAGAAAAGCGGGGATGAGGGGTTACATAAAACAATTTTTGCAATTTGAACATTCAATGGAATGGACCACAGCTCAAACACTCATCAACCGAAGAAAATTTGACAAGCAATCACGAAAAACTCAAACCTTGCATCTTTGCCAAGTACATAACGAAATGCGATCCCATTTCGGGTGTGATTAGAAACGCCCCGAGGGTGTTTTTCCTGTGGGATTATTTCACGAAGCCAATCGATTAGAATCTTTTGAAGAATCGAGACAGAATACTCAGAAATGTTTGATTGAGCATACCAATCAGGTAAAGGGCTGAACACATGACTTTCGGGAGTAATTAAAGCATGGTCTCTCTTATAAACACTCCTAGTAAAACCTGGCAAGTCTGCAAATAAGCATAATCACATTTAGTTTTCAGCAATGTGTCCCAACTCCAAACTTCCTTAAACAACTATACCCTTCTTAAAATCACACCAAAAAACAAACAAAGTATATGTATGTGGGCAAGAACATAACAGCACTTTCAGAATATAGAATTTCAGAAAATCCAAATAATTTCTTCCTCACAAAATATTTAATCAAAAAATTTTAAATATTAAATTCTTGCCAACAAAAGGCAAAATCCCTCCCCCGGAGGAGGTAAATCAGGGTGACGCAGCAGCCCGGAATGAATAGTGCCAGGTGCCTACATAAAGCCCACCGCACACTACAGCAGCCCGGAATGAATAGTGCCAGGTGCCTACATAAAGCCCACCGCACACTACAGCAGCCCGGAATGAATAGTGCCAGGTGCCTACATAAAGCCCACCGCACACTACAGCAGCCCGGGCTCGATCTTGCGTACTTGCCCACAAAAGGCAAAATCCCTCGCCTCGGGGCCCACATCCCGGCCTAACAGGATTTGTGGAGTGACTCAGCAGTGTGCCGGGTGCCCACGAGAAATCCACTACATTGGGTGTAACTCTAACACTGACAGTCCAGGCTCGATTTTGCATACTTGCCCATAATCTACTACCAGAAACCAATTAAGCTACCCGTACAGGCTTAAATATAAAATTCTTATTCTGGGAATTAGACAACTTTTCCTTTACTTTGCAATCAAATGGGACACTGACCTTGGAGGTGAGGAGGAGAGAGTGTAGGGTTAGTGACTTTCCAATACAGTGGTCTAGAGTTGGAATCAGCATTCAAGATTGATGGTGCAGAGCAAAACCCTTCTTGGGCAACTCCAATCTTAACAGAACCTGAAAGAACTCATCAAGATCGACATATCTGTATTCAATAATGGTGCTAAATTAACAAAGCAAATGCTATTATTACTATTATTATGTGGTTATTAGAGAGAGAGAGAAAAAAAAAAAAAGCAGTGAAATTTGCGATTGGAGAGAGATTTACCGAGGGTGATTGAGAGAAGAAGAAAGAGATGAAAAGATTGCATCTTTGAGAGGTTTGTTTGAGTTGGTGATACTGGTCGGGGATGTTTGCAAGTGTGTTTCCCAGGGCTCATTTGAGGTTGTCCTGTTGTGTTGTGGTTTGCATTTCTGAGGTGGGAGATGAGTCAGCTGCCAGACTGAATCTTGGAATCGTCTGAGATTCCTCCTAGGGCTCAGCTCTTTAACTATAGGGTCACAACCTTGTGTGAAATTGTCTCATAAATCTTTATTTGTGAGACGGATAGAGTCTGATCGGATTAATATGTAAATATAATACTTATGTTAACAAATATAACATTAAATCATGAATAAAATACTTGTTCCTTATCAAGCAAAACACAATATTTTTTTTAGGGCAAATGTAATACTTTTCGAAAGTGATGCGGAAGGAATTATAAGCTTCATTAGAAGCAATGCAAGGCCTAGAATAGCACCACACAACATACTAGAGGCATGTAGAAAAGAACTAAGGAACTTGGAGACGTGGCAGATTTTACCAATCTTAAGAGACCAAAATCAAGTAGCTGATACACTTTCAAAGGCTTTCTCCTATCTTCCTCGAGGTTTACATGTTTTATGGGACCCCCCGACCTTATCAAAGGGTTACTAGATGATGATGCCTCTGGGATACGTAGATGGCGCGAAACACTGTCTCTGAATCATTAGAATGTAAAAGCTTGGGTACCCCCCTTCCAATGATATATATAAAAAAAAAATGTAATACTTTTATATTTTGACGTAAAAAGTATTACTTTTGAAATCCAAATCAAACAAGATGCATTAACCCGTAAACAAATGCCAAATACAACTGGGTGTAAAAAGTTTTACTTTTTTCATCAAAAATATTATATTTTTCCTTATAAATTGTTTACATTCTTTCTTTCTCATTGTACATGAACATAGAGCCTTTATAAAATTCATTTTTTAATTATAATCGCTAATAAATTAAAGAACTCCTCTTAGCATTAGTTGAAACTGAAAGAGTTAATTTTTAAGTAAAAGAGTTAACATTAAGATTTAAGCCATTGTTCATTCCAACTACAAAAACCAATTGAGGGTTTATGGCTAGGGGTGTGCAGAAATCGAGAAACCCGATCAAACCAACCGACCCGAACCCGAGGAGGAGCAATGGTGTGGAATATGAAACCGAATAAGCTTACCCGATCCGAACTCGTTCTCAGAAGCCGGTTATAAGAAGGCGGTTTGGGGGTTGTAAATTTCACCCGAACCCGTCCGACAAACAGATTTAGGGTTAGACTTTGTATACCCTTAGGTATACGACGTCGTGTAAGCTTAGTATATATGTTGCATTTTAGGGCTTGTAGCTGAAACCCTTGTCATTTGCGCAGCTTCGTGAGAACTCTTTCGACTCTCGTAGTCTCGTTCTCTCTTCTCTCTACTCTGAAATTTAAAACCCTAGTTCTTAATTCTTTCTTCTCCAGTTCTCTCGTTCTCTCCGAGTCTCTTCTAGAGTTATAGACTTACAGACTGAGAGTGTGAGTCTCCGGTGGGAGCTAATATTGTTCGGTGGAAGCCCTATTCTGTTATTCAGTGTGTTATCGACTGGTGCGGTGGATTGTAGATTGCAGGCTCGGAATCGAAGCCCTTTGTTCTCGGGTGTTTAATTTGGAGAAACGAAGTAATCTCTAAACCCTAATCTTATACATAATTAGATTATAGTCTTATAGATTGTGATACGTTGTTGTTAGTTGTGATTCTATGATTTTGTGGACTGTGATAATGTCAATCTGTTGAGAAGTTCCAGATTGCATGTCACTTGTCCCTTGTTTGTGAATTTCTCATACTTAGATTAGGGTTTCTATGATTAGGGGTGTTCAATCGGTTAACCGAACCGTTTTAACCGAACCGAATTAATCGAAGTTTTTTTTCCTTTAACCGTTAACCGAACCGAAGTTTGCTCTACCGAATTCACCGAACCGAAATTTTTTTCGGTTAATCGGTCGGTTAACCGATTAACCGAACTTTTTAAAGCTAAAATTTAAAATTCTAAATATAACACCTAAAATAATAAATTCAATTAAAATAAAATACATATCATAATAAATTCATAACAAAATAACAAAAACATTAATTATAAACTCCAAACATCCATAACCTCAAATTAATATTTATATTTATATTATTATTTATATATATATATATTAAAAACTTCGGTTAACCGTTCGGTTAATTCGGTTAACCGACCTTTCGAACCGAATTAACCGTTAACCGAAGTTTTAAAATTCCTTTAACCATTAACCGAACCGAAAAAGTTCGGTTCGAAAACGGTTAACCGAACTTTGTCGGTTCGGTCGGTTAACCGAAAATTATCCGAAGTTTGCACACCCCTATCTATGATCCTGTGGACTGTGATAATGTGTGAATTTCTGATACTTTGATTAGGGTTTCTATGATTCTGTGGACTGTGATAATGTCAATCTGTTGAGAAGTTCCATATTGCATGTCACTACTCACTTGTTTGTGAATTTTCTGATACTTTGATTAGGGTTTCTATGATTATGTGGACTGTGATAATGTCAATCTGTTGAGAAGTTCCAGATTGCATGTCACTACTCACTTGTCCCTTGTTTGTGACTTTTTCTGTATTTTTGGTGGAAGTCATAACCCCTATGTGTGAAATCCATATAAATGTTGTGCATTATGAAGTGTGAATCTGTTGAGACTTGAGAACTGAGAAGTTCCAGTCTTGCAGATTGCATGTCATTCACTTAATTGCCCATAATGTATAAGAAATTGTGATATACTAATGTGGTGGAATGTGACACCCCGAAAATCCTATCCTTTAAATAGGATTAATTGGATAATTAATCCTAAGTCATCCTTGTGGACTTTCTTATCAATTTTCAAAATTGATAGTCGGAGGACTTAAATTGACTAACTCCTTGGTCAACTGATTTAAGTCAAAAGGTGGACCTTTAGCTTTGATGGTTGTACCTAACTCTTTGCGGTCTTCCTAAGTTTTTCTAGGGAAGGTAAGGGCATTATAGCCTTTTCACATTTGCTTGGCCTTGAGCCTTACCCTATATCAAGCCTAGACCTCATTTTCCCACTTTGGCAAGAAAACCTTTCTCTACCTTCTCTCTAAGAAAAACTTGGCTTATTCTCCAAGCTAAGAAGAATCTCCTCCATCCTTGCTAGGGATCATTCCAAGATTCCACATTTCCATCTCCCAAGCTTAAGGAAGGTTAAGATCTAGGATTAGTTGGTGTTTTTAATTAGCTTTACCTAGCCTTTATCTAAGATTAGTGTTTTCCTTGTGGTTTTGGTTGTGTAAGAAGATTTGGTTGAAGAGGAGCTTCAAGGAGAAGCTTAGGAGGGTAAAGAAAGAAGTCTTTTGGTCTATAAAGGTAACCCATGCTATACAAAACCTATTTTCTACTTGATATGATGATTCTTGACTTCTATTTGATGATTCTTGGTGTTAATGTGAGATGTGATGCATAATATTGTGTTTATGCATGTTTAGAGCTTGTATCTAGGATCCTTAAATGCTATTCTTTGGGTTATTATTGTGTTCAAGTCATTTCCTTGTTGTATGTGAGATTTTGGGTATTTTGGACTTGAACTTGACCTTGGAGATGAATTTCCCCGAAGGAAATTATTTGGGGTACATGTGTTCCCCGCTGGCGGAACAGCGGGTGGCTGTCCACCCGCCGCTCCACCCGCGGGTGGTGGGTTGTGCACCGGTGAGTAGAGGTGCCACCCGCGGTTCCACCAGCTGGGTACGTGTATTGAGGTGTGACGGGCGGTTGTTTCCCCGTGGTTCCACCCTTTGGTATGTGATGTATTGGCCTCCGTTTGTTGAATTGATGAGCTTTTGTGTGTCTCCTTGATGTTTCGTATGTCTAGAACTAGGTCCTAACTATCTATGTTAGGATTTGGTGTCTTGAATCATGCTTATGGTCTAACTTTGTGATTCGTTGGATTAATGTGAGTCTTTGAGGTTCGTTGGAACCGTTTTGATTTACCCGTTTGATGAGCATGCTAGAGATGATGTCGTTGATACTAGTATGTGTTGTTTGTCCATTCCTCAAGACAACCGCCGTCTATACATATGTATAGACGGCGGTTCTTACATTGAACCGCTGTCTATTCATATGTATTGACGGCGGTTTTTACATTGAACCGCCATCTATTCATATGTATAGACGGCGGTTCTTATATTGAACCGCTGTCTATACATATGAATAGACTGCGGTTCCTCAAGAAAAGCGCCGCCTATACATATAATTGTTGAGATTACACGACATACATAGTGAGATTAAACGGCGGTTAGCAACCGACGTGTTTTAGAAGTATACACGGCGGTTCAAATAACCGCCGTAGAAAGTTTTTATTTACAAAGGCGGTCACTTACACGGCACTTCAAGAACCGCCGTGTATTTATAAAAATAACCGTCGTGGTAAGTGTGTTTTGTAGTAGTGCATGTTGATATTGAATTGAAGTCCATTGTCGTGGTTGAGTATCGTTTCATGTCTTTCATTGGAACCTCTTGATTGAATTCTATGATGTGAACTTGTACATCTTGTGTACCGTTGTTGGTACTTGATTGAGTTATTGATGAGCTGCAATTCTCTTGATAATGACTATGTGTGACTATGAATGAGATTGGTGGTAATATTATTTGAGCTTTGTTCACGAGATCGGTGGTAATATTGTGTTATTTAATGGTACCCTCGTGTACTGAGAGATCAGTGGTAATACTATGAGATTGATGGTAAAGATTGGTGGGGGACGACGGTCCCAGGCGGAATAAGGTTGGACTCAGAAGTACAGGGTGGCAGTAAGAGGTTATGGTTGGAACTGAAATAAGGTCGGGGGTAGCCATAAGGTTGGAACAGAGCATAAGGTTGGAACGTGAAACTTGTCATTGTGTGATTTGTTGTATTCATTGCTTATGATCATGTCTATCGTGAACTCTACCTTGATTATGGTAGGTTGCGTCTAGTGTTGAGTATGTTGCTTGTTGTCCTTATGGACTTGTTGATTGTTGTTGATGATTGGTCTTTGTTGAGAGTGTTATGTTGAGTCTCTTGGTGTTCCCTCTCTTGGTTTCAAAGTGATATATACTGTATTCCTCTGTCTCAAATGGTTTTATGATATCTATATATTATGTTATTTAATGCGTATTTGTGGTACTAGCATCTTTCGCTGACGGGTGTTATCTTTATTGCTTTTACAGGTTTTGAGTAGCTTTGGAGAGCGTGCTACTGGCTGTAGCTAGTTTAGTTCTCCTTTACATTCCTTTAGTTGACTTATGGCCTGTGTGCCTTACTTCCTATGACTTTGTTATTGAGGTTTTGGTTTAGACTTAGCCTGTGCACCTATGTTTGAGATAGGTGTGGCATAGCACCTCCGTACTTAGACTTTGCTTCCGCTTTATCTTAATGGATGTTTAACTTGTTTTTCCTTTAAATTAAGCTTTTAAATTTTGGTAAAATCAGGGGTGTTACATGGAAGCCCCTAAGTTTTGAAATCCAGATAATGATTCCTGATGAGTGATGCAGATGAGGCCATGAGTTGTATAACAATCTCTGCCTCTCTTGAAAGGGAAATTAAAACCCTGATTCTGGATTTCAGTAAAAAATGTCAAGTTTATGGATGTATGCCCTTAATGGTTTTGAAAATGGTGACACAATTACACAAACTAAATTACTTTAAAAAAATAATAATTATGTATTCTTTGAAAATGATGACACAAAATGTGTCTGATTATGGAATGATTTCTGCTTTCATGCTTCGTGCTTCTGTGTAATTGTGTAAAAATGTGTAATTGTATGGCTTACTGATAGTTAACTATTTCTTAGATGGGAAATATCAGTGTGCCTAGTAGTCAACCTCCCAACTCTTCAATAGAGGGACCTTCAGGGGTGGAAGCCCAAACTGCTAAGCATAATGAACAGCAGAATGTGCAACCTCCTGCTACAGTTCCTGAAAAGAAGAGGAAGAAGGTTGAGGCCAGATCCTTAGTATGGGATCATTTTGAGAAAATTCTTGACAATAATGGTGTTGCTGTAAAAGCCAAGTGTATTTACTGTGCAAAAGTCTATCTGTGTGAGTAAAAAAAACATGGTACATCTTCCTGTAAAAACCACATGATGAGTTGTCTAAAAAATTCTCACTCCAAGGATACTAGGTAGTCTCTTTTAACATTTCAAGTTGTTACATCATCTGATTCTGCACAGCCTACTGTGGGGGAAATAGGGACCTGGGTATTTAATCAAGAGTCAATTAGGAGAGCCTTGGTTGAAATGATAATCATTGATGAACTCCCCTTTAGATTTGTGGATGGAATAGGTTTCAGGAGGTTCATAGCTATTGTTTGCCCTATGTTTATAGTTCCATCTAGGTGGACTATAAGTAGGGACATCCTAGTTATCTATGAAGAGGAGAAACTAAAATTAAAGTCATTTTTAAGGGGAAGCAGTCATAGGGTTAGTATCACTACTGACTCTTGGACATCTATCCAAAGAATTAACTCATGGTAGTAACTGCCCATTTCATTGATTCTGAGTGGAAGCTTCATAAGAAAATCCTTGCATTGGTCCTTGTTACCTCTCACAAAGGTGAATATCTAGCCAAAGCCCTGGAAAATTGTTTGCTAGAGTGGGGACTTAGAAATGTGCTTCCTGTGACTGTTGATAATGCCTCATCAAATGACACTACTATGGGGTTTCTAAAGAAAAAATTGGTGTCTTGGGGATCATCTACTGTGAGGGCAAAGTATCTTCACATGAGATGCATTGCCCATATCTTGAACTTGGTAGTTCAAGATGTTCTAAAAGACAGTGATAGTTCTGTTAAGAAGGTTAGGGAGGTGGTCAGATATGTTAGAAACTCTCCTGCTAGACTTAAGAAGTTCAGGGATTTGGCTGATTGGTTGAGTATTGAACAAATGTCTTCTTTGTGTTTAGATGTTCCAACCAGATGAAACTCTACCTATTTGATGTTGCAGTCTGCATTAACTTACCAGAAAGTGTTTGAATCTTTGGAATCTGATTGTTCTTTCAAGTCTGATTTGGGTAATTCAATTCCTGATTTTATGGACTGGGAATCTGTTGGCAGTTTGGTCCAGTTACTGAAGTGTTTTTATGACATGACCATTAGAATCTTTGGTTCTTCATATGTCACCTCAAACACATTCTTTACTGAGATTTCTGATCTGTACTGCTTATTGAAAGGCATGGTGGAAGCTGGTGGGTCAGTGGGTGAGATGTGGAAAAATATGAAGGCAAAATTTGAGAAGTATTGGGTGATGTTGATAAAATAAATCTAATGATTTTTTTTTTTTTTTTGCAAACATTCTAGACCCTAGAGACAAGTTAGAGTATATGTCTACTCAGTTTAATCATATGTATGGTGAGGTAAAGGGTAAACCATTCTATGACAAAGTAGTTGCTGCTCTGACTGAATTATTTGATGATTATTCTACATCTGCCTCTTTTAGTGTGAGTTCTGTCCCTTCTGCGCCTCTTCTGTTTCGGTTGGGAAGCCACAACATTTACTCAAGTCCCAAATTAAAAAACAAAGATTGGAGTCTGAGGGTAAGAAACAAACTGAGTTGGATATGTACTTGAGTGAGGCAATAGTTGAAGAGGATGAATCTTTTGATATAGTTGGATGGTGGAAGATCAACTCTGCTAGGTTTCCAGTTCTGTCTATGCTTGCTAGGGATGTCATAGCCTTCCAATCTCAATTGTTGCCTCAGAATCTGCCTTCAGTACATCTGGGAGAGTATTGGATCCTTTAAGGAGTTCATTAACTCCAAAAATTGTGGAAGCATTAGTGTGTACACAAGATTGACTTAGAATGCAAAATACTCCTTTATGTATTGAGGAGAGTGTGGAAGAGTTGGAGAGGTTTGAACAAGGTATAACTTTAGGTCTTTAGTAGTTTAGTCATTAGTTTTTTTTTACTGTTTTTAGTTTTTTACTGTTTTATACTAATACTTGTATGTTTATTTTGCAGAGTTAAGTGGTGATGGTGAAAGTGGGAGGTCTCTTGGTTCTACACTTGCTACAATTCCTGTAATGTTATTCTTGACATTACTTGATTTACTTACTTGATTTTATTGCAATCTGTTACAGTATTTGACTCAATTGCAATCTAATCCCACTTGGTATTTTTTGAGCCCACTGTGACTGAATGACTGATGTTATTAGTTACTGGCTTGAATGCTTGAATGCCTGGACATATGTAACTGTAAGACTGTAACTCTGTAAGTATGAAGGCCTGATAACTTTTACTAAGTTTCTGCCTCAAGTAGTCCAGTCCCTTGGGCATTTGGTTGGTAATGTATGAACTATTGTCTATTTTATTATGTTTGTTCCCTTTAAGTTGGCATTTGACAATGATGAAGCTTCCACCTTTAATCTGAAAAGAAAAGGATTAAGTTGGTGAGTTGCTCTATACTTAGTTATATTGAAGCAACTTGCCCTTAATCCAAATGATATGGAAAAAAAAAATACTTACTGAGCCAAAATTGATATAAACATATAATCCATTCTCTGTGTTTCATCTTTTTTTTTTTTTTTTTAGAATTCTAATGCTTGCTTGTGTAATAATTATTTTCACTAACTTGTCAGTTGTCACAATTCACAGGAAGAAGGGTATGTCTAATTGTCTAAAAGTCTAGGAGTTAACACTTGCTGATTGTTGCAGATTTTGGTGATTTTGGTGCTTCAGTAGTTCAGTTTAGACTGATCAAGTGTTCAGTAGTTGTGTATTTGTAAATTTGATCCTTAAATCCTTTACACTTAACAGTTAACACTCGTGTAGAGTTTTGATCCTTTTGGAGATTTGGTCTGGACTCTGTAACAGTTAACACTATCAACTTTACTTTTGTAAGTTTTGCTAGAGTCTTAGACACTTAAGACTCTTTGTATTAGTTAATAGACTACTTAGTAATACTAATTACTAAGTTAGTATTACAGTATTAGTCTATTACACTAGCAGTTATTTATTCAGTTACATACTAAATTGGTAGATGTTTAACTTTTTCTATTAATGAGCTTATGTTATTGGTTTTTAATTTGATTTGTACATTGTTTTAAAACCGAAAAATTAACGGATATCTGACCGATCCGATCCAATCCAATCCGAAAAACGTTATAACCGAACGAATAAGTCAACAAAATAAAACTGATTGGGGAGTCAAAACTGAAATTCAAAATCCGATCGGAGTACCCTCCCCGCCATCCGAACCGTCGGAATGCACACCCCTATTTATGGCAGCTGATTGGCAAGCCATATTTATCTTATCACTAATCTTTTTCTACGCGCAATATGCAAAAGTAAATTACCAAGTAACTTGTAACTCATTGGCAATCTCTGTGGCTCTTCCAAATGGAAGGTCACAGATTCAAACCGCGGACGCATTGACTTCTTTGTACTTCAATATGTTGAAAACGTATGTATGAACATATACTATATTGTAATAGAGCCAGTAATATAAAAAAAAAATACACAATATTAATACTCGATGTTCAAATCATAGTTATATTAAAATAACTTTTCAAAAATGATAGTATATAATTTTTTTTTAAAGTCATAAAATACACAGTTTATTACAATTTATAGTTGATAATTTAGTAATAATTATGATATGATTAATAATTGTTAAAGTAAAATTTTTAGATATAGTAAATGATTAAATATAATTATGGTAGCATTTAATATACACTAACGAAAGTTAAACAATGTAAGGGTAATTTTGTTCAACAAAAATAATAGTATAATATTTGTAGCACGATTTACACTCAATAAGCATAAAAATACAAACATAAATCAAGAGTACTAACCTAAATTCATTATATTTTTATATGTTTTTTACTTATATTTATTATATATTTTATTCTAAATTAGATTTAGATAGATTGGATTTAGATTAGATATGAAATAGGTTATTGCTTATTGGATCATGCCTGATACCTTATCCCAACAGAAAGGGACATTTTATCCAATGAAGTGCTCCAAAGTCCAAACAAAAGAACACTCCATAGGATAATTTGGGGGTTGATTTTGTAGTAAATGTTAGATGTGAAAGAAGGTCATGTAAACTATGTAGTTTGCTAAAGCTTGTCGAAACAACTAATTTTCGAGTCACGTAAACTCGTTGTCTTATATTTTATGTCAGTTTAAACAGGTTAAATCTAATCGTACATAATACAAAATATAGATTAGAACGAACTACACTATCCAAATTTTAAAAAGTGGCTAGTCTTTTAATCATCGAGACTGATTTTATAGAGACTCGACTAAGTCTTAAACCAAATCTAGTTTAAGACCGAGATAGACAAACCCTAAAAAAAAAAAAATCCTAACTAACTAATACTAAATATGAACGGAATATTCTTGATTAATCAAAAGTCACAGAATACAGCATAATAAACAGAATATAAGAATCACAACAAGACCGGGATATATAGACCTAATCTAACTAGAATACATAAGTCCTAATAAGGATTCTATTTCTCCATTGACAATACAAAAGAGTATAAATGCAAGTTACATACATAGTGGAATATATTCCAAAATACAAATTTCCAAGAAGTTGCAAAAAGTGCAAAGTTAAAAAGAGAATAAATTAAACTCTCTTCATCATCAAGAATCCTTAGGGGTCTCCTCTTGCCAAGTTGCTTGCCATTGCTTGTCATAGAAAGTTGTCTCCTCCACCAACTTCTTCAGTGTTTCTATGTCCTCATTCTTTCTGATCAAGAGGACACCCGATACAGCTACGAACAACAGCGTTTTGCAGAAGAAATTGCCCATTTGATCGACGAGGCCAACCCCGGTCAAGCTATCAACCACGTATGCCATAAAGAACCCGACCATTGCAGCCCGCCCTGCATAAAGTTTTCACCATTATATTGCAGCTCTATTCAGATGAACCGTAAAACAACTCGCAAAAACCCGCGTTTTTGGAATTGTAAGAAACGAGGGGAAAAGGGTCTCGGAGCAAACCATTAAGGAGTTCAGCTTCGGGAAGGTGGAACCTCTTCATCCATACCCACCAAGGAATGATTGAAGTGTCAAAAACCACGGGGTCCTCATTACTTGATGACTCCGGGTTATCTTCTAACCATTTCCTCCTCCTAGCCTCTGCAATATAGTTAACGTCGCATAATTATGTGTCAAGAGAAAAATCTACACGCTGAATGTTGTGGTGGTTGGGTATATTTATAATATAGGAACACAATCCCCAACACATTTTCATCTAAAGTTATGATAAAACAAATGGTTCCTAATGGAAAGGGAGAGTTTAATGACACATTGCACTCTCTTAACTCAAAAGGGAAACGTGAAAAACAGTGAGAGTGAAACACAACTGCATATGAACAGACCGGTTAGCGAATTATTAAATTTTGGCTTCAAACCGCACTGCAAAACATAAAGCTGAAGCAAAGAATAGAGCTATGTAGTGCAAACTAATAATTTGGTGATTGTGCAATAACATCTGGCAAAAGAAAAAGAAAAATGGAAAATATAGTTCATAATCACTAAGGAAGGGAAAAGATCAAACATTGAATCCAAACCATACATTCGCCCAAAATAAGAGTTGAAATTAAGCCATCAGATCTTAGATAGTGTCGAGCTCTTTTTAGAAAGAACTACTCCCTATAGAGATTCAAATTCTTGTATGCCATATTGAGAGGCGTAGCCCCTTCCACCAGGCGAACCCCATTGTTAAATTTATGATACACTGATACAATCTCACGTCGACTTTACAAGAGAGTATGAAGTGGTTAGTCTGAGAAGCTCTCCCACTTATCTTTTTAAGTATTTAATCTTTAGAAGTGTTTCTAAGTAAAAAAACCAATCTTCACCTCTCATATGGTTCCTTTTATGCTAAAATCCACCATACATTTCTTAAACACTTGCTTCTAAATGCTTGTATCAAAAGATGCCTACATGTGACAATAAGCACCATAAATATCGTAAATATAAGTAATAAATGTTTATCCAACTATCAGCTCAGACTTCCTTTCGTGCCAAAGGTCTATCTAGTATTCACCCGCACACATGAGGGGCGTGTTGAGCACTATAAATATAAGTAATCAGTCCAACTAGTCCAACCATTAGCTTAATATAGGAAGACAATTAGCAATGAAAATTCTGTATAATCAAACTTGATATGAGTAGCATAATCAACCAAATTTTGGAAATTCATCAATTCATGAATAAATCATAAACTAAAATCATAAAATGATATAAAATCAGAAATGAGAGACAAAGGGGAGAGGCTCACCAGCATCAATCACAGAATTCCAATGGGTCTTCCCATCACTCTGAAACTGACTCAAATCCCAAGTCCCACCCACCCATCTCGGATCTTGGAACTTACTCACCACTTCCGGCGCCGGAGCTTCGACAGCCACAGCCGGCGGCGACCCGTTGGAGTTCAAGGCCTTCCCATTAGCCTCAGGAGCCTCACCCACCGTCGTCTCTTGCTCCTCCACAGAAGCCAAGCCGGACCCATTCCCAGCAGCAGCAGCACTTGCGGAAATCAAGAATGGGAGATTCTTGGGCTTTTTGAGAGAGATGAAGAGTGGGCGTTGGGAAAGATGGGGTTTTGAAGGAGCAAGAGTGGGGAAGTGAGATGGAGAAGGCGATGAGAAAAGGGGCATGGCGGCCATTGTGGTTGGCTGAGGAAATGCAGAAAGGAAATCTCAGAACATTGTTGGGCTGCCGAGTTGGGGATAACCTCAGCCTCACAATCACAATTGGGCGTTTTACTTTGTAGCTTAGGCAGTTGCCAAAATTGTTGTTTTTTTTTTTTCTTAATATATTTATATTTTTTTTAATACGCACCCAATAATATCACTTTTCATATAAACTTTTTCCCAACTCCAATCAGAGCCACAGGATACAAAACTAATCATTACGTTTTTTTTTTTAAGGAGTTAATTGCAAGTAGCGAGTAAAATAAGATTATCTTTATCTATACAATATCCTCTCATTTTTATGACTTGGACCTTATTTTTATTTTTTACATTATCAAATTTACAATTAATTTACTATTTTTTTTTACATCTTTGTAATATTCTCTCACTTTTAAAAGTGACCTTACTTTCAATAAATAAATAAATAAATATATAATAATAAAATTTTAAAAGAAAAATACAAAAATTGTCATTTGGCAACAAAAGTTGTCATTAGCAACCTTGATAAACAATGTGGCATTGAAACAAAAAGGAAAATGAATTTTTTTTCCACCTCACCCTTAAAAGTGATAAACATTCCGGGTTGAGGATAGTTTAAGCCCCGTTGGGCACTAATCATTACTTAATGTCAAAAATTTGTGTAAGATTGTGTCTCGGATCTTTATACGTGAGACAAGTCGCGTCAAGATAAAAATTTAATAATGAAAAATGTAATACTAATCAGGAATAATAAAATGCTTATTAGTTATATGGGAAGTGTAATACTTTTGAAGAAAAATATAATAATTTTACATTTTGATTTAAAAGTATTACATTTTTTCTTAAATATTGAATGGAAATGGAATTGAAATTTCATGGAAAATAAATTCCAAGAAAATAGGTTCCATTGTTTGGTTGGTGGAAAAGAAATTACTGTGAATATGAATTTCATTGTTTGGTTGAGTTTGGAATGGTAATGAATAATGAGTATAATGACAAATATAACCCTACACAACAACAATAATAATAATATAATAAGAGTAATTAATAAAGAATGGTGAGAGTAAAATTGTCATATTAGTTTTTCATGGAAAACTTTTTCCAAGGAAAACAAAATACCTAGGATGAGCTAGGAATTGGTTTTCTTCATTTTTAAAGAAAACTTTTTCCAAATGAAAAATGTTTTCCATCAAACCAAACAACATAAAACATCATTTTCCTTCACTTTTAGGAAAACATTTTCCATGGAAAATTTTTTCTATCCAATCAAACACCTCCTTATAAGTAAAAAAAAAAAAAAAAAACACTTGCCAACATTACTTATTATAAGGGAAAATGTAATACTTTTTGATGAAAAATGTAATACTTTTATATAGCATCAAAATGTAAAAATATTACATTTCATCTACTAATAAAATAGAGAAATTTTTACTTTTACATCAAAATGTAAAAGTATTACATTTTCATTTTACATCTCACGGATCCGTGAGATGCTCTCATACAACTGCGACCCTTACCTAATTGGTAGTAATGCGTCCTGCGCCGAATGATCTCTCTCGTCTACTAATACAATAGAAAAAATATCACTTTTGGCCCCCTAACTATTATACATGAATCACATTTTGTTCTTGACTATTAAAATTTTCTAATTAGGTGCATGACTATGTAATTTGTATCACATTTGGTCTTGTCGTCCAATTTTTCACCTAACTATTGACGGAAGTGTTCCTTCCTTCTGGAAGGAGCACTGTATTTGCTTCTTCCGAAAGGAGTACTTCTGGAGGAGCACTGTATTTGCTTCTTCTGGAAGAATGCAAACTGCACAAATTAGGTATCAATAGTTGAAGAAAATGCACTATAAATTGCACAATCGTAATTACAAAAATGTGTTTTTTTTAAAAAAAAAAAATACTTTATAATGTGTTTTAATAATATTCTTTTTTTCAGATGTACGTACAATTAGTTATGCACGCGCGAATACACAATCAAACATTACAAGATATACAATAAGTAGTTCACAATTCTCACAAGAATAATTGCTTTCATTTGCTCCCAATCCTATATATGTGGCATTATAAAATTTCTTGTATAAATTATAACACCATATCTATTTTAAGAAAAGAAATTAAAATACTACTTTAGAAATTGTATGTTTTTAAACCTATGGATATTTGTCTGATCTGTGAATACAAAAACTATTTTTTCAAGACAATACATTTCAAAATATATTGAAATGGACAATCTAAGCATGCACCAATAGAACATTCATAAATATTCTAATTTATACATTTAATACACATGCAATTCATAATTTATACATTTCATGCAGGCAAGTATTTTGTGCATTCTCACCCCCTCTTCATTGTTATTGTGCAGGATCATAACATCGAAATTAAATGAGCAATTATTGATGGACCACTGTACTACATACATGTGCAATATAAACATGGTTTGTTTTTGCAAAGTCATTTTAATATTGAAAGTTTTTTTTTTAAAATCAAATGTTAACAAATCTTGGAGATAATACATATTCAAATGGCTTTATTTCTTGAGATATTGGAAGAAACCAACACAACAAATAAGAACACTATCGAAAAAGAAATTCTATAGGAATATAGGCATACAGCTATACCTATACAAATACATTAGGGGTGGGCATATTTTGGGTCAAACCCGAATTTTTGTGGGCCCAACCCGGAAAATACAGTCCAGTTCGGATTCGACCCGGTTCAGATTCGACCCAGTTCGGGTCCAACCGGATAAAACTGTGTTGAAGGCTTGTAATTCGGTTCGGTTCGCGGTTTTAAAATATTAGATTCGGATTCGATCCCAGTTCCGCCTCCTTTCTCTCCCGCCACTCGCCCGTCTCTGAATCCCCTCTTCTCCTTTATCCCGGCTCTGTCTGTTTCTCTCACTTCTCTTCTCCGTTCTTTGTCTCTCAGATCTCATCTCAGTATATCATCCATCACTCTGATCTCTCACCTTCGCCAATCACCAGTTCCTACCTCTCAGTTCTCCAATCTAATATAGGATATAAACAGATAATTTATGTGCAACAATTTGTGTGTTTGATCTTATGCAATGTGCAGTGAGCTTGACCATGGCTGAAACTCCAAAAGTGAAGAATATTCCCTGCTATAGGATATTGCTGCTTGCCTACTTGTGTGTGTATTGAAAATTTAAAGGAGATAAAGGTGACTATAAATATTGAAGTTTTTGTATTACTGTGCGTGTAAATTAGTAGATATAGCCAAGTACATCAATTTTGATTTGAAAATAAGTAGATCTAGACAAATTCATGTGCAATAAGGTTGATTCAAGTGATTTTTCTCCCTTTTATCTCATTTAAATATGTTGGGTAAAAAGGTGAAAAATCCCCAAATATAATAATTCTACAGAAAATTATTATAACTTAGGGAAAACAGAAAACCGGGAAGGAAAAGAGTTGAGTGTTTGGGTGAAGGCTTTAGCACGAGTTCGAACACAAGGTTCTTTTCCTTAAAACCTTATTTGCTACCTCCCACAAGTGCTAGGAGCGTTGTAGCCTAGGTTTCCCAGGATAAAACGTGCTACGACTCTTTGTTTAAGCACCTAAACAAAGAGCCCGGCGAACAAAACAAAGCTGGGGAAAGAAGAGAGTAGAAGCAGAAGTTTTGAAGCTGAAAACTATACTGGAATTCCTTCGTTTTTCTCACTGTGTGTGTAAAATGCTTCTGCCCAACCTCTTCTTTATATAGGGCTCGTTGGAAGGGATAGCATTCAACATGGCAGTAAATTGGGATTAAAACCAATTGTATAACACCTGTAACGGTCACCCACTAAGTAGGATTAAACTCAGAATTTAAAATTGGAATTAAAACAGTATTAATTCCGTAACAGATGAGTTTAATCTGTACAACAGGCTGAACTTTCGGGTTTCAGACCGTTGGGGTGCAGGTTCACACGAGAGCATACGGACCAGCAACACGAGAGTACATCTCTCGTGGTCACAGATGCACGAGAGTTGTGCTCTCGGTGCACCACAACCGAACCAAGTGACTATAACAGATGGAAAATGATACCGAAGTTTGGCATAACTTAGCCCGCACGGCCAGCCAATTTCCGGACGACATTCGTGCCCGCGCACGCGAGCTCGGGCTTGATTCAAGCCTTTTGAGCTCTTCTAGTTGGATTTTGATTTGCACCCCCCCCCCCCTCCCCCCGCGCGAGAGAGCCTCTATGCTATACAATTCTACAAGCTTGAAAAGAGCTCATGTATATAAGGGGGGCAAATCTTGTTTCCAAACCAATGTGGGACAAAGTCCTACATTTCCCTTCATTTCCCAATTCAAATGGGTCTACTTTGAGAATCAATATCTCATTCACCCATTATCCGTTTTGAGCGTACAATATATCAATCTCTTCGTCTCACTACGAAGAACACGAATCCACTTTGACCCGACCCAAATCGGAAGTGGACCCCACTGATAATTGTACCACAAGGTAGCCACTTATAATGCCATTTTATGTCATTTTTAAGCTAATTTTCCAACAAAATATTGTAAGTATTGTATATTTGTATTGGTGAAAGAAATACCATTTTGGCTTAGTTGCTTAACTTGCTTTGTTCTCTTTTGTGCTTTGACAAATAAGTATGAATTGGTTCTCCCTACTTTTGGAATAGCTTGTTTATACTGTAATGCTATTTGAATCTGCAAACCAATCTAATATTACATTATTTTGTTACACCATTTCTCTATTTCTCTATTTATGTTCATTCTCTCTTCAAATAACAGTGATATTGGTTCTCTTTATTGTAGCAAAATATGGAATTTGAGGAGAGGGGATCGGAATACAACTACAGCTTTAACTGAACTTGCCAAGGATTTTCATTGCTTTTTTAAAAAAATAAAAAAATTGTTATTTATGTTTCATGTCTCTAATCATTATTTTATTAGAATAGTAAATTATTGTAATGTTAATAAAGTTTTTTGTTGTAAATTATTAATTTAGATCTTTTAGGTTTATTTTAGAATTTTATTTTCTTTCTTTATTTTCTCAATGCCTTTGATGTAATAGGGGGTTCTTATTACTGTATTTACTAACTTTCTAGCTCAAAACATTTAGAATTTTTTATTTTTTAAAAAAGATTTATATTTTTGGGTTTAATCACCCGAACCCGAAATATGCCCGACTCAATGTACCCGAACCCAAAAAGAATCGGTTAATTTTTGATTCGGTTTCGGATTTAAAAACACAGGGCCTGAAAACTTTCGGGTAACATATTTAGACACGGGTTGAACCCGAATCCGACATGTGCCCACTCCTAAAATACACATGCACACAAAGATACATTTTGTTGTTCTCAAGAGTGAGCAAATATGAATTGCATAAATACACATCAAGATCAAAGGAGAACTAAGGAAAAAAACATTGCTTAGGATGTGCTGATGTGTACTACCAGGTTAAATAGTGGATTTTGAGATGACGTCAGATATGAATACTAGTGCAGTTTATAATAGTTTATCGAGTTAATTTCAAAATTGTCCTTTGACTATAGCGAAATTATCAATTTAGTCATTGACTATTTTTTTGACCAATTAAGTCACTCAATTTTAAAAATCTTAACCAATTTGGTCCTCCGTTTGTTTGACCGTTAGTCAATCGTTAACTTGGGACCAAATTGGTAATTTTTTGCTATAGTCAAGGGACCATTTTGGTAATTAACTTTAAGGGTGGGCAATTCGGTTTAGTTTTCTCAAACCAAACCGTACCAAACTAGTTAGATTTGGTAATATAACGAACAACCGAACGGTAATAGATTCTTATATACCGAACGGTTCGATAAAAACTCGAACCGAACTGAATTTGTTCGGTAAAAACCGAACCGAACCGAATACCGTTTGAACTTTGGATTGCTATTTTGTTATAAGACTTTGGAATTTGGATATGGACTATGTAAACACCATAACATATAATATATAACTTTTGATAACAAACCATAAAGAAATCAAATAAAACATTTACGAGAGATACCCGTGAAAATATGAGCTGAACGACAGAGCAAGCAGTGTGGGACTTGGATTTACTTTTTATTTATTTATTATTATTATTATATATTTTTTTAAAAAAATCAAACGGTATTCGGTTCAGTTCAATTTTTTACCGAATAATTCGGATCGGTTTTTTATTGAACCGTTCGGTATACAAGAATCCAATACCGTTCGGTTGTTCTGTATATTACCAAACCAAATTAGTTCGGTTCGGTTTGATACGGTTCAGTTCGAGAAAACTAAACTGAATTGCCCACCCCCCTAAAGATAATTACCAAAATGGTCCCTTGACTATAGCAAAATTACCAATTTTGTCCCAAGTTAACGGTTGACTAACGGTCAAACAAACGGAGGACCAAATTGGTTAAGATTTTTAAAATTGAGGGACTTAATTGGTTAAAAAAATTAGTCAAGGACCAAATTGGTAATTTCACTATAGTCAAGGGACCATTTCGGTAATTAACTCTAGTTTATCCTATGGTGTAGATATTAATTTGTAAATTTGTAGGAAATAGGGATGGCAATGTGCCCCGTCCCTGACGAGATCCCCGCCCCGAAAAAGACGAAGATGAGGAAGATTTTCGGAGAACGAGGACGGGGACCAAAGACGGGGATGGAAAAGATTTTCGGAGAATGGGGACGGGGACACCCCTCCCCGCCCTGCCCCGTCCCCGAATAAATTAATTAATAAATAAATATAATAGTGACAATATATATAAAATAGTAATACTATATAAGTGGCACTATTGCACTTATACTAACAGTACACTAACATTATACTATATTCATATATGTAATTAACTATATATATAAGTGGCAGTATTATATATTGCAATCTACTATATATACAGGTAATATATGCTACACACACACACACACATATATATATAGAGAGAGAGAGTTAATATGTTAATTTCTGAAATTAGGACTTATATTTTAAAATTTTTATTATTAAAATTTAAAATTATTTAACATTTGTTGGATCCGTTGGTAGAAAAAATAAATAATAATCAACTAAAAAGATTATTATTTTTTGGAAAAAATAGGGAAGGAAAGATGGAGAATTTGGCTAGTGTTTGGTGTTGGGTTTTTGCAAGAGTCAAGCGATCACTCTTTCCTTAAAACCTTATTTGCCACCTCCCAAAGATGCTAGGAGCGTTGTGGCCTAAGCTTCCTAGGATAAAACTTGCTATGATTCAATGTTTGAGCATTCAAACAAAGAATTCGGCGAGCAAGACAAGGCTATGAACACAGTATGGCTTAAGAAGAAGTAGAAGCAGAGAGGTTTTGAGGCTAAAAAGATGAACTTTCGTGTTCCAAATTTTTGTGTGTAAATATCTACTGCCCAACTCCTCTTTATATAGGGGTGAAGGATTTAATAGCTTTTAATTAGGCACTTAAGGGCACCCCTCCACCTTCCTGTAACAGCAACCTTTAACCTGGGTTTCAATTCGAAAATTTAAGATTGGAATTAATTCAAAGAATTAATTCCGTAACAGTAAGAATTGAACACCCAACGGTCACAGAAAATAGTACAGGTTCGTGCAGGCCGAAACTTCCAGTTTTGACCCCAGGCCGAAACTTCCAAGTTTCGGCCATGGGCCCTTTACTGTCTCGGCCCTGCATGTTTCGGCCACAGGCTGAAACTACTTGTTTCGGCCATATAAGTTTCGGCCTCATGGCCGAGACCTTCTAGGCAGTTAGGCCGAAACCATATAGGTTTCATGGCCGAGACCTATGGTTTCGGCCACATCCAGTGGCATATGTTGGAAAATTGATTCCGAAGTTTGGCATAACTTATTCCGGACGACATTCGTGCCTGCAGGTGCCGGCGCACACGAGCTCGGGCTTGAATCAAGCCCTTTCAAGCTCTTTTAGTTGGAATCCGAATCCACTTTGATCCGACCCAAATCAGAAGTGGACCCCACTAATAATTGTACCACAAAATAGCCACTTAACATGTCATTTTAAGCTATTTTTCCAACAACATTTTGACTCAAAGTTGACGGGGAATGAGGAATCTCTGTCCCCGCCTAATTCCCTCGTGGGGACGGGGATGGGGAATATTTTCAATTCCCCGCCGGGGACGGGGATGAAGAATATTTTCAATTTCCCGCCGGAGACGGGGTCGGGGATGAAGATGGGGAGTATACTCCCCGCCCCCGCCCCGTTGCCATCCCTAGTAAGAAATTCCTAGCTTTAATGACATCTACTACAACTCTACAAGTACAAATTTATTTATATTATAATGGACTTGAATTGAATCAGACCCAACCTTAACCAAACTTTATCCCGTCATTACTTAAAATGTATAGATTTTAAGAAGACAAGACAACTTTGTGCATTTTTAACCCTAGATTATTTTGTGTAAAGTACTCATACCCTTTAATGAGTTTGAATTTCCATAAAACGGCAATGACATTGCCTTCTTTCCCCTCTCATTTTTTTTAATTGAAAAAAAAAAAAAAAGGCAAAGCCATTGCCTTCTTTCCCTATCAGGGTGTTTGGTTGGAGGTATTTTAAATTCCCTTCCCACTTAATTCCAAAGGTCATTAAATGCCGTAGTTTGGTTGGAGGGAATTGCAATTCCATGGAATTGCAATTCCCCCATTTTCATGGAATTAAAAAACCATGTCCCCCGGGATTTTAATTCCTGGAAAAAAAAGATAGTGATGAGTCAAAATTACCCCTTCCCTTTTTAACCTAAAATTAATGTCTAACAACAATAATTGACATTTTTGACTTTATACTACTTATTCCCTTTCAATTCCCATGTATACCAAACATTGGAATTGAAATTCCAGTAATTCTATTCCTGTCAACCAAACACTGAAATTTAAATTCCTACTTTATTCCCAGTAATTCAACTCCCATAGAATTACAATTCTTTTCCCACATAATTCCCCCTCCTCCAACCAAACGTCATGTATTTATTTCATAAATGTTATTAATTATTATATTTATTTATTAAATATTAAATAATATAAGTAAAAATATATTTTTTTTTAATTTTAATTATTTATAGTACTGCAGTAAAATGCACGATAGTAATTGTAATGGACGTAATGGATGCTTTGATTGCTCATTATGTATATTTATATCCTTTGTATTATATATATATATATATATATATATATATATATATATATATATATATATATATATATATATATATATAGATGGGCACACCTTGTATCATAAAGAAAAGATGAATAAAATGACCCTCCTTCCCTCTCCATTATTTGTATATTCTTTTTTCTTGCTCTTCTAACTTCATTATACAACACGTTATCCACACTTTGCTCTATGAACCAAATATCCAGATCCAATGTATTTACATGTGCTTTGTTCCCCATCGCCGCGGCGCTGCATTCCCTGCCGGTGCCTCTCATAGGTAGAGTAAGCAACGGAGGCACATCAGCCTCCCGATCGGAAAGCTTCGCACGAGGCCGGCTTCACCACTCCAGCGCCCACTCCGACGAGAGGTTTCCGCGTACCCTAGCCTGACCGCCGGAGCAGATCGATCGCCAATGATCGGATGGTCAATCGGAGGTTCCCTGCGATTCCAAGTCTTGGATCGCGCCTTCGTCGTTGGAAGACCATTCCGGCGGCTCAGTCACTGCATAAAAAATCAAAGGAAAAATGCATATCTTGGGGATGAAGCGCGGCGATTCCGAATCCCCTTTCTCAGTCAGCCCACTCTGTTCGTCGGAAAGTGGCAGCTGCGCACTGTCCCCCGGAATTGGCGCAGGCATCCGATCATCGGCCAATCGGAAACGGGTGACAAATTTGAGCCTTTTAATCTCCTCAATGTCACACATTTGTTTGTCTGATTTTGCTTGTAATCTATAGCTTTGTACAAATAATATATATTGAGAAAGATAGATTATCCAAGGAAGCAATATATACAATGGATGCATAGTAAAACCAGGAAGGCTAATGCAATCCCTCATAGCCTTATTTCTCATGGTTCATATGTCTGGAATTTGACTTGCTTCTGCAAATGCTAATCATATACTTCATAGCATGCAAGTCATAATATTGTAGACACATTCACTTGAACTTTTTTTTGTCAAGTTATCATCGATGCTTTCCACCGCTTAGGGAGCCTGAGAAGCATGCACTGGTTCCATTCTCACAGTTCTACACAAGTATGACAAATTGCACTTTCTTCATTATGTGCCATTTTATACTCATCTCCTTACCATAAGTTTTATTATTATTTATGGTTAATTGGTTGTGCATTCATGGAAATTGGTGTAACTCACCCAAAAATTATGTTTCCTTGTCCATATAAAAAATTGCCGTCAAAATCAATATATATTGATTATCCATATATAGGGGTGTTAGCGAACATAGTTTTCGGTAAACTATTCGTGTTCGTGTTCGGTAAGCGTTCGTTTATGTTCGTTTGTCAAGGTAAACGAACATTAACAAACAAAATTTAGAGCTCGGTTAATAAACGAACAGAGCTTGAACAATTGTAAGCTCGTTTGCTAAGAGATCGTGAACAAGCTCGTTTGTGTTCGTTTACTAATGTTCGTGAACAAGCTCGTTTATGTTTGTTTAACAATGTTCGTGAACAAGCTCGTTTGTGTTCGTTTAATAATGTCCGCGAACATGTTCACAAACATATTATATTATATTAGTTTTGTAGTTGTGTTGTTTGTTTGACTATTGTTCACGAACGAATTGTGATCATGAACATGTGCAGATGTTTGTTTAAGTGTTCATGAACATAAATGAATATGTTCGTGAACGTGCTTGTTAATGAACATGTGTGTGAACGTGTTTATTAACGTTAACGAACACGTTTGCGAACGTGTTCACGAACGTTAACAAACACGTTCGCGAACATGTTCGTTAACGTTAATGAACACGTTCGTGAACGTGTTCGCGAACGTTAACGAACACTAACGAACGCTTAACAAACGAACACGAACAGGATTTTCAAAAACCTTAACAAACGAACACGAACACTCCAAATTCCTTAACAAACGAACACGAACAACCTCCGTTCGTTTATGTTCTGTTCGTTAACAGCCCTATCCATATATATCTTCCCATTGGTACATATATAAACCAATTGCCACACAGATTATTGCTACACGATCTCTATGCTATGGCTAAATGCTAATGGTTTTCCATGCTATACATGTCACTTATCCACATAAGTTTCGTATGTGTACCCATAGTTTAAATTGCTTTTAATATTACTGCCAAGACTTTAAGGGAATAATTATGCTAGGCTTGTTGCTGCCCGGGCATTGTACAATGCTCTTGGCTTTGCTCAAGCAAAATTTTAACAATGATATGGAGCGGGATTATATTATGAGAGTTGTGGCTACTCTTTCACCAGAAGTGAAAATTCGACAGCATTTTTTTTTTGAATGTTTGGTGTCTAATTTCAACAATATACTAAGAGATGTTAGCTCCATGCATGCATGTCATATTTTTGCTCATATTATTTATGGCATTTTTTTTTGAAAAGCAAATTAAGCATTTTTAGAGGAAATATTTTTTGGGGGACCTTCAAAAATTGAATAACCAATATCCTGATCCACTACATATCACATACACTAGTACATGATGCATTTCCCTATCTACGTTTAATTTTTGTTAGTATGCAACCCTTCTAACTATATCCAATCATGAGAAATCAACAGTGATGTTGGTTGCATTATAAGATCTTTTCTCGGCATTAGGGGGAGATTTGAAATTTCTAATTAATTAAATGCCGAGAAATTGATACAAATTTTCAAATCCATGTACTAGCCTTATAGAACCAGAAGTTCAGACATTGAACAAATTATCTGCTAGAAATCCCAAGGAGTGACTAAGTCCATAGAAAATATCTTAAGAGTTGAAATCCCCAACTAGGACTAAACATCTCTACCATTATGCCAGAAACATTTTTTTTTTCCTACAATTTTTTTTAAACCAAAAGGAATTGTATATCATTGAAGAAAAAGAGGGGGCAAAGCCCTACAACTGTTGACTTGGTCCAAAAGTGACCAAGCATTACAAACTATGGGGTTTAGAACCCTACAAAGTAACCAAGCATTACAAAGTGACCAAAATGGGTTTAGAACCCTACAAAAGCTACTTGGTCCAAAAGTGATCTATCTGTACAAACAAAGGCCATAAACCTTACAAACTATATGGTTCAAATGACTATATCTACCAAGGCCTAAGAAGGCCATTCGGCCAAACACTTGGCCATTACAAGTTAACTTCTAACAAGGCCACATGGCTTTTACAAACTCAAGGCCATTCGGCCTAAGACCCAAGCAGCAAGCATAAAGCTCTTCTAAAGCTAAAGCCATAGTCCCGGTCTCATTCTTGAACAACTCCTTAAGTGCATCTCATTCTTTTCTCACCAAGACATTCACAATCCCTCTTATTGGTAAGCAAGGTACAACATCGTGGTCTATCATGTCCCCATGTACAATGCCATTGGTCTTCCCACCATTTCTTCCCTACAAGCCATCATGCCATCCCAAGATGATTCAGCCACTGCCCCTAGATGTTACACTCCGAGTAAACCCTAAGTCCTCACCCCAAGAGTGCAGGGTCAACCCCCCGCACAGAACTCTGTGTTTTAACCGGGGGAGCCACTTAAGCCCCCCACAAGGCAATGAGACCCACCCTTGGCCCAAAAGATGATCCCCTTTATTGATACCCAAGTATTTGAATAAAGAGATCATTTAGCCTTGTGGACCAAGCAATGGTAACTTTGCCAGAAGCATATATTGGTTTAAGAATTTACAAAACTAGATCTAGTATAGAAATTTCCACTCCAGAAATATAAAAATTTTATCCCGAAGAGATTCGTCTAGAAGGCGAAAACCCCCCGTAAAATTGTAGGTGCACCAAATAACTAAAATATTGGGGAAGCGGAACAACCAAATTCAAATACTCTTGGGAAATGCCATATATTTGGTTGACACAAAATTGTCATGTGTATAAAAGATATTTACAAAACTGTTACAGTTGTCGACAACATATTTTGCCTCTATTGCTCATAAATACTTAAATCTGGATCCAGAAATGAAAACAGTAGTATAACGCTTGCAGCGTGCTAACTGTT